TGGCTAAACGATCAATCCCTAGTTAACCATATATATGCCTGAGTTCAGTACTTATGTAGTGTTAGACACTAAAACTATACAAATATCATTAACTGGTCGACCAACAATCAGACAAGAACATGATCGGCCAACCAATGAAACCGCATAGCTTAAAATATCCACCACCCTTCATAAGCAAATATCCTACACTAACAACAAATACACCAAGCCTAATCTGGTACCTAACCTGGAATTAGGTCTCAATGTTAGAAACCTGCAAAACAATCAATCACCAATATCAGAATAATAAGACATTAATTAACTACGACTCGATCTAACTCGTAACACTGTATATCAAGTGTGGTTCCTCATAATCATTTATGCAAAGTTGGTGGATTAAATAGAAGTTTGAGAAGCAAAATATGAGTTGGAAACTTCTCTGAATGAGTGTGTTGTCAATAGGCGAACCATGGTGGGAGTGTAATTTGATCTTCTATCTTGATGGAAGGTTAATTGCTCTAAGTTGTTTATTCTTGTTGAGATTACTCGTGATGTTCTTGCAGTGCAAATTCCATCTATTACTCTTGAAAGTGCAGTTAGCGCTAGTGGCCAAGTTATTGACCCATGAAGAAGTTTCCTAACTCACTATACAATTCAAGTTTTAATGTGTTCTCAACAATGAATGAAAGCAGATATTCGGTGCAGTGAAATTAGAGTTGTGACAATGGAAAAAGTTCTCAGTGAATTTGAGTATGATGACAAACTTAAGCGAGGTATATCACTTACTTATAACTTATTACTAATCACATTTCATATTTCCTAACTATGCTTTTATTTATAACTTGTTTCAGATTATGATTCTCAAGCAACACAAGAAGAATTAGGCAAAGAGGAGCTTTGGGAGCAAGGGGGAATGTATTTTGGAGAATTGGAGAATGTGCTGTGAAGAGGTTTAGTATTTTGGTATTTGGTCGACTGTTCTTTACGTGTTTTTATCTTGTACAATTTTATTTGCGGTTGAAGATTATAATCAGTGTATGATTTGTTTCTTTTCAACAATGCAATGGAATTTTATGTTTAAGTATTAAGTTGAGTACATTTTTGATGGTTATATTGGTTATTTTTGGAACCAAATAGTTACTTTGGACACTTTTAACAAAGTAATTTATTACAATGAATATTTTGTTATATTTTGATCTTTTAAACTTAGAACCAAACCTGTTAAATTCGGGTATATTATGGGCTTCCAACTTACAACCAATTGGTGATAAGTGGATTGGTCCATCTATCTTATATACTACTTAGGATTCCTTCCGACTACCGATGTGGGACATTTGTTCCTAATACTCCTCGAGATGATGGATCTTTTGAACGTCAACTCAGAATGTTTGGACAATGATCGATGGACCATAATGATGAGGATTGGGTTGGATTTCATAGATTGAGAGCTCTGATACCATGTTAAATTTCTTGGGCTTCCACTTAAAACCAATTGGCGATTGGTGGATTGTTCCTAACCCTTTATATATTACCTAAGGTCCCATTGAATGTCCGATGTGTGATATATTATCCCTAATACCTTCTCGAGATGATGGTTCTTATCGACCAGAAATCTCAAAATTTTAAGATATTTATACTCGATTGAGTGAGTCAAATATGACAATTATACCTAACCGGAAGGTTAAACACGATCTTGATACCCGTCCGGAAAGGTTAACTAATTAACTAATGTTTAGTTTTTTTTTAGGATCTGGGCTCGGGTACCATCATAGATTGGAGTTTATTATGGGTTTCCAACTTATAACCAATTGGTGATTAGTGGATTGGGCAATCTATCTCATATACTACTTAGGATCCCTTCCAACTATCGATGTGGGATATTTGTCCATAATACGCCTCTTCGAGATAATGGCTCTTTGAGCGTCAATCTCAGACTGTTTGGACAAGGATCTATGGGCTGAGTTTGGACTTGATCGATAATGGATCAGATTGGACATCGTAGATCGTAGGCTCCGATACCATGTTAATTTTTCTAGGCTTCCAACTTAAAACCAATTGAAAATTATTGGATTGGTTCAAGTCATGTATATATTACTCAAGTCCCTTACGTATTTCTAGTGTGATAGTCGTACTCGGTATAACTTAGTATAAATCGGTATCACTAGTATAACTTGGTATAACTGGTAGAACTCGGTATAACTGGTAAAACTAATATAGCTTGTATAACTTGGGATAACTGGTATAACTCAATATAACTCAGTATAGTATTAGTATTACTCAATTAAACGAAGTATAACTCAGTACAACTAAGTAAAACTATACAGTATAATATAATATCTGAAATTTGAAATTTTGAGTTTTGAAATATATAATTAATAAAAAGGATATAATTGGATTTTCATATTTCATCAAAATCATGGGGGCATAAGAGATTTGAGAAGCCTATAAAAAATTGGCTATATCACAAGTAGGGGTAATGAAAGCTTCTCGAAGCTCTTATGCCAATCTTCTATAGGCTTTTCAAATCATTTATGCCCCCATGGCTTTAATGAAATATGAAAATCTAATCCTATAGACTTCTCAAATAAGTCAATTTTTTTCCCTGCCCCTATTTTTTTAGAGACAATCTCCTATGGGGCTCAATTGATCTCTCATACTTCTATTTCATAATTCTTTTTTTGATCAAAACTCAAACTCCCTAATCAAATCCTCCCCGGTGTTCCAAACTAAACCCTAACCCTCTATGGATTAAAACCCTTAGGTAAATATTTAAGTTCTTTACCTTTCAAATTCGGAAAAAAATATTTGAAAATCGTTTTAATTATATTTTGATAATTTTCATGAAAATATGACCAAAACGTTTATTTTATTTTATTTTTGAAGTATTTTTATAAAATTTTATAAATCTAATAAAAAGTATTCATGTTTCCAGTTTAGTTTTATGATTTTTTGGTTGAGATATAAAATTAAAAAAAAGAAATGTGTCATATAGATATTAAAGATTAAAGAATGAGATAAAGGGGTTGATTCTTCTCAAATCTTTAGTTTTTTTGTTGAGAAATTTGCAGTCATACCAAAGAACTTTAGCATAATTTGCAATATACCAAAAGACAAAAACCCTGCAACTGTTCATGATGTCTTTTTACCCTGTTACCCTTTAAACACTAACCTCTCTCCTGACCATAAACTGAAGATATAGACGAAATCTTTTTAAGATATGCAAAATCTAATCCCCACTACAATCTATAACCAAAGTTTTTTTTGTCGGAGGTTGCGTATTAGTGCAAACAATACCAAAGATTTTGAATTTTGAATATCCTTCCTTTCACACATTTCACAAACAAATGAAATATTCACCCACTCCAGAACCATATAGAGGAAGACGACGGAATGCACATGCCGCCATGTTCATTGCCTGAAAACATTTTCGCCGCCGGTGACGAACCCGCTGGTGTTAGAGCGACTCCATATCACAAAGCGAACGGAACTAGACAAATCCTGAATGCGCTCCATCCCGATGAAGTTGAACATATTAGGGTTTCACTATTCCAAAAAATGATTGAGATCGCCGACAAATGAGCTTCTCAAAGATGTTTGGGAGATATATCATATCCAGATGTCTTCGTAACTGGTTTATAAATCTAACAGATGTGCAACACATGTTTGTTAGCCGGCTAAACTATTTTTTCAGTTACAGAGCCATATTTTTGTGTTCACATAGGTGTTCGAAAAACTATTTTTAAATTTGAACAAAAATGTTTACCTAGTTTGACAACATATTATACATGAAATATAGTCAAGTTAGCCGGAAACATAATTTCTTAACTTTATAATGTTTATATCCACAATGTTTTAGTATCTGGTTAATAAATCTAATAGATGTGTAACACATGTTTGTTAGCTGGATATAACAACAAAGTCTAGTAACTGGTTAATGAATCTAATAGATGTGCAACACATATTTATTAGCCGATTAAACTATCTTTTTACTTACAGAGCCATATTTTTGTGTTCACATAGGTGTTTGGAAAACTATTTTTTATTTGAATAAAAACATTTACTTAGTTTGACAACATATTAGACATGAAATATAGTCAAGTTAGCCGGAAACATAATTTCTTAACTTATTATTTTTATAATGTTTACATCCACAGAGTTTTAGTATCGGGTTAATAAATCTAATAGATGTGTAACACATATTTATTAGTCGTCTAAACTATATTTTTATTTAAAATGCCATATTTTTGTGCCTATATAGGTGTTCGAAAACATCAAATACAGCTTTTCACTATTTCTGATAACTAAAACCAGTTATCCGGCTAAACAAAAATTGCTTGTATATTTTTTTATATAACCATTAATAAATTTGTTGGCTTTCTAATTATCATATTATCATATTTCTATTGTCAGAGTTATGAGAACAAATCTCTAACTTTAATCTGAATCGTTGGGTTATGTAGGTGGAATGAGAGGTGTTGTCTAGACATTGTCTTGATCGTTGAGTAACCATAGAAATCTCCAAAATATAAAAAGGTGAAAAACAATTAAGTTCAAGAATTAGAATGTTTCATGAATTCTTGGAGAAATAACCAGATTAATTCATGATCTTCTTCAGACTTCATGATCTTTTTCATTTTTGTTTAGATTTAGTAGGAAAAGAACAAAGCAAAAAGATTGAAAAAAAGAAATAGATAAATTTAACAAATCTAATCCAAAACTTTTTATGATCTTTCCAAATCTAAACGAAATCTCTATAATATCTTATCAAAATCTTGTGTAAGAGAGAAGCAAGAGGGAAGAAACAGTAGATTAAATTCGAGAAGGTGAATTGTAAGTCGGACAGGGTATTTTCGTCTTTCTCACACCTCATTGTTTGCCACATAGATATAACTTTTCTGATTTTGGTATTTTCCTAATTTCCAACTCTTTCTATAGTTTCTAGCTAGATTACTCTTTTTTTTTTTTTTTTTGGGTTTTCAGTTCCTTGCATTGTAGAGCCGCTCTTCTATTTAGTTTCTTCAATGGTGGGTGATCCGTCTCCATATCTATCTACCCGTGTCGTATGAATGATGATGATCTGAGAAATGGTTTCTCTTTGTGATCCAGGCACCGAAGAAGGACAAAGTTCCACCACCATCCTCTAAACCCGCCAAATCCGGCGGCGGAAAGCAGAAGAAAAAGGTCATTTTCCAATCATAATCACATTTTTTTTTCTTTTGCATCTTGTTGTGCTCACGTACGTTGCTCCTTCTTTGAGATCAACAGAAGTGGAGCAAAGGAAAGCAAAAGGAGAAAGTGAACAACATGGTTCTCTTCGATCAGGCTACCTACGACAAGCTTCTCTCTGAAGCTCCTAAGTTCAAACTCATCACTCCTTCCATTCTCTCTGACCGTCTTCGGGTACTTCACTTATCTCCACTCCCAACTTTTCACTAGAAAAAGGTCGAATTAGTTATTCTTTACTCTTGTAAACAAGATTGTATGTACTCTCTAAAGTTTCCCTAGATAAGCTCTTTGTGGAGTTTTGATTAGTCTAACTTGATGGGTTTTTAGATAAGTTGTCATTGTGTTAGCATGAGATTGTTTATACCTCAAAACTGATAATTTTTCTTCTTTCTTGTGACTAAGTGATCTGATTTTCATAAGATTTTGCACATTGATGATGTATTTGATTCTTTCATTGATCATATTTGTGTGTTATGCAGATCAATGGGTCACTTGCTAGGAAGGCCATTAGAGATTTGATGGCTAAAGGATCAATCAGAATGGTCTCAACTCACTCAAGCCAGCAGATTTACACTAGAGCTACCCACAACTAAGAGTGTTGTCTCTCCTTTACCTTTGTACTTCTCAAGTCTTGACTCTGTTTAGATGTTGATCTTTTCCCCTTCAATCTAATTTTTTTTTTCTTTTTGCAAGAAAAGAGTTTATTTTGTGCATTTTTATTCCACGAAAGATTTGACAGTTGTTCAATACGTCTCTTACTTTTCTTAGTACACAAATCACAACCGAAATGTGATATATGTTGATTATTACATAGGTAGTTTGTCGTACCAATTACATGGCGGAATAGTGTTCCTGTAGCTTCTATGATACAAATAAGTTATTCATACATAACTGATAAAATAACGAGACCACCGCCAAGTAGACTTGATGATGTCAAAATCGTACACGGTTCGAATTCAACTGAAGCCCTGATATCTGGTAGTGGTGTTCCTTGTCTCTGAATGATGGTTTCTGTTTTTCCTACCTTAGATCCCGAGCATTCCAGACCATAAGAGAGTCTGTCTTTCTATGACCATATGGGTTTAAACCGCTCAGAGCCTTCCCCATCAGTGCCATAGCTGCAATACTCGGATACTGTTTCTTCTCCAGCTCCTTTTGGTTCTCTGGCTCAAAGCTAACATCCTGCCCTTCTGGTTGATCCGTCGATATATCTTTCTTCTTGCACCATCTCTGGATCCATGGATGCAGAAGCGTAATGTCTTCACCTCCCTTGTTCACATTCTTGTTTTGTGAATTGACTGGTTCTTGATTTCTTGGTTGGAGATTGTTGATACCGGACTTCAAGATTTCAAGGAATAGGTTGTTGTTCCCTTTATCTTCGACCTTCATCAGGCTCTTGGTTTCATCATGTCCGCTCGAATCCGAGGCGTTTCTCTTCAGACGCTTTACCCATCTACTGCTGGCTTCCGGTTCTTGTTCCAACCGCACACGTTTGCAGTCTCTTGAGAGAAAGTGGTCCACGTTCATGCTTTGAGTAGCTGAGTTGCTTGTTTCTCCTTGATGCTCATCTACTGAGTTCTCTGTATCCAGAACAAGAGGCGGTTCTTCATTCATGTCAGGTATTTCAGTCCTAGGAATGGCTGAATCACCTTTTCTTCCTTTGCTCTACAAAATTACTCAAAACCAAACCATTAAGGTTTCTTGAAAACGCTTTTGAGAACGCAAGAAGACAGAGATAGATTTATCATACCTTAGTTGAGGAAGAAGCAATGGAGCCTGCCAAGAAAAAAGAGAATCAGAAAAGTATGCGAATAAACAGAGCAAACAACAAATGGCGAGACCTTACAAAACATGTATCTTAAGTTTTCAATATACCAGAAAGATGCATCATTTGAAGTCTATCCATTTCCATTGTATCAGTCTCCGCAGATGATTCATTCTTCCCTTCTTGGGTATCCTTGGAGGATTCCAGAGATTCCAGCCTAACCCCTCCCTTATGCTGGTGATCTACATTAGGAAACAGATTAAGATACCCACCAAGAATCTTCCCTTTGAGTTTCATGGAACCCTTCAGTAGCTGATGACGACCATCTTCTTCTGGCAAGTTGATCCCTCCAGAAACTCTTTGAACCGAATCAACAGTTGCGTAAAACCTAACTGGTCTAATCAACTCAAGCAGGTTCTGTGTAGTCTTTTCTTGAATATTGTTATTATCTCCTTGAGCATACATCCAAGGCAATTTATTATTAGCAGCCATAGCTTTCGAGCTTGAACCCATATCGTCTTTGGTTTCCAATACCTTTGTAGTATTATCTCTCTTCTGAGAAACCTTGAACATAGGAAACGGCAAGACTTCGACTCCTTGGCCACAATTTCTCTCTTTGACATCACCTTCAGACCTTATCAACTCCTTAGAGCCACCACCATTACCATGATCATGAAACTTCACTTCATTACCTAACTGAGTCCAACGACCTAACCAAGCAGATTCCTTTGCTTTGCTCATTTCTTTGTTAACTTTACCCATAACCATAAACTGTTCAGACATGGTACCCGACAGAGCTTCACAGACTTCTCCACAAGCCTGATCAAATCACCTGTAAGTAAAAGTCCCCTACTTTCTCAGTTACAATGGATAAACTCTAAAACGACAAGAAAATCCCATCAAAGCTTCCAGATTTCACCCAAAAAGTTACATTTGATTCGAATTTCATCAACAAACAAGGGTGGATGGTTAAAAATAAGCCCGCAGACACCAAAAAAAAAGGGTTTTAAGATCACATTTTTCAATCAATTCTCAGCAAAAAAAAGACACAAGCTTCACTTACAGACAAGACATACAAATCGATGCAAGCGATGAACAGATTTGTTATTTCTCAAGATTGTTACCAGAGACGAATACGTGAAGAGAAACTGTCTTGTTTTGGTGAAGGAAGAAAGCAAAAAACGAATCAGAGCGAGAAGGCGAATATCACCACCAATCCATTTCTACAAAGAAGTTGAAACCTCGTATATTGTCGTATAGCATCGATGAGTTACAATTATTTTTTAATTCTTTATAAATTTCGAAAATTATTTTTAATTATAAAGTTGACGTGTTCCTTTTTCTGCCATGTCTAATGAAAATGGGGCACAATAAATATCCGAACAATAAACTGTACATATATCTAGATTTCTTTTATTTGTTGTCGTATCAGGTTTAACAAACTTTTGGTTGACAAAAGTCTGAGTTACAAAACAATAAGTCTCTAAATGCAACATGAAAGTTGTTAATACTAATTTTTATTAATTTTTTGAACACCTTGGATTAGGTTTAAAAGAGTGTTAATCGTTGGAAACATTTTTTTCAAACAAAGATAAAAGATAGTTTATTATCAAATTATAAACCTTAAAAACATACAACCATAAACAAAAATTAAAAGTATCTAAAATTTCACCTGTTTCTAATTTTCAATGGACTATAACCATGTAATTTTGTTTATATTAATAAGAATATTTTATATTGACACGGAATCTATTTAAATACAATCACATGAATTTGATGGGAAAATTATCAAATATGACTCACAATTTTGATTTCAAATAAAAAAGTAAACCAAATTTGAATCAAATGCAAAAATAACTTAAAGGACTATTGAAATTGCAACCAGTTCTTTATGAACAAACAAAAAAAATTGATTTTTTTTTTTTACATTTCTAACTCTTGCAAGTATTTTTAAGTCTTGAAAGTCGTCTACTATAGTTCTTTTTAAAAATAATTTTATAATTTTATAAAAAATATTTTGATAAGTGAAAAATTGAAATCATGTAATTAACATATGTTTTATGAGATATAAATTAAGATATAACAACATTTAATTGTTTTCAACATAGATGAGTGAAGGTAGTAAAAAGGTCAAAAAGCTAATAAAAACAAAGGACGAAGAGTGATGGCGATTTTTGGAGCGATTTTTTCTGTCCGTCTTCGAGACGGTGTTGGTACTCTTCGGAGTGGTTTTCCGACTTGTTTCTCAGGGTTTACAGATTCGAGGGTCGGTTTCTTTCTACTGGGAATATTCTCTGGTGGTTTTTTTCCGGGATTTTCTCTTCTCAACGGTTTTCTTTTGAAGAAACCGCCATGGTCTTATTCCTTTTTATACTCAAATCTCTCCTATTCTAATTTCCAAAGTCACTCTTCTATTTTAATGGGTGAAAATTTACGATTAAGAATGCAAAATTTCAATTTGGGGGCTGATGATGAACCGGTGGCTCTTCCACCGGAGATGGTTATTCAAGCGGCAGCGGCGAATCGATTCTCTTTGGTGGTGGTTCCACTCAATCCACGAAAGCAGAATCTTCGGGCTATGATTAATCAATTACCCCGTCTCTGGGGTGTTGATCAGGGCACGGTGGGTCGTATTATAGCGGCAAATCGGGTGCAGTTCATTTTACAATCAGAGGAGTCAATGTTGATGGTGATACGTCGTGCCCCTTGGTCTTTTGCCGAATGGATGATTACAGTTACTCGCTGGTATCCAAACATTGAGGACGAAGAACTCAAGATTGTTCCTTTTTGGGTTCAGATTCGTGGTATTCCTCTCCAATTTCTCACCCGCCCAATGATAGAATATGTGGGGGGTGTCTTACCACCGGTATTCGATGTTGATTTCGATGAGAATTCAACCCGTGTTGATTTTGTCCGAGTTCAAGTCCTATGGAATGTGGATCGTCCTCTCCGATTCCAACGCAACTTCCAATTCTCGGCGGATATCAACACCTTGGTGCACTTCAAGTTCGAACGTCTGCGTAATTTCTGTCAAAAGTGTGGACTTCTGTCCCATGATAGGAAGGAGTGTCCTTTAGGGTTTGATGATGAGCAACCTCCGCCTCCTTCAGATGATGATGATGAGGATGCGAAAGATGATGATGAGAATGCTGTAGAAAGAGGTAATGCTCCTGTTCCAGTGGAGGAAGTGCTTAAGGTGATACATGAAGAAAGGATGCTTGATGCTGATGGGTCTGATGGAGGAAACAAGCGGAAGCGGGATGAGGAAAATTCTGGTTGTGCAATGGTACTTGAAGAGTCTGCAGCCATTCCTGAAGTTGATGATACAGCTTTTTGGCAGTTTGCTCCGTTTCCAGAAGTAAGGGCTGAATATGAAAGAAGAATGGGGGTGATAAAGACACAGCGTAAGTATAAGTTTGTCACAGATTTGGTCGATTCTCTGGAGAACAATCAAGATCAGTTGCCTATGGAGCTTTCAGAGGAGGATGATCCAGATGGTGATCATATCATTTTTGAAATGGAGGAACGCCGTGGTGCTGGTTCTGTTAAGGATTATTTTGGTTCTACCTCTGTGACACCTGTCTTCAGGCCATCGAATGATACGAAGTGTTCGGAGTTGCAGCAACAGGTCATGGCTGATGGGAGCTCCCCCTTAAAGAGACCTCGTGCTGATGATGATTTGGTTGATAAATACCAGGTTGGTAAGAAGATCATTTCGTCTGAATACTATGCTCTGTATAAGATACAAGAGGACTATGGTCAGACAAGCTCGCAAGTGAAGATGGTTGATGCAACTAACCTATTGACAGAGGCGCGGTGGGCCCAATACCACCACCAGTACCATGAGAGTCGAGGTGTGGAACTGTAGAGGTTTGGGAACGCCTCACAGTTCGACGTCTCAAGGATATGCAAAGATTGTATAATCCAGACTTGTTGTTCCTCATTGAAACAAAACAACAGAATGATTATGTACGTGATATTGGGGTCTACTTGGGGTATGATCAGATGGTAATGGTACCTGCGATAGGGCTTAGTGGTGGTCTTGCTGTTCTCTGGAAGTCTCATGTTTCTGTTTCCTGTATTTCAAAAGATTCTAGACTTATTGATCTTTCTATTGAATTCAAATCCTTTTGCTATTTTCTTTCCTGTATTTATGGTCATCCTATTCCAAAATTTCGAAACCAACTATGGGAAAGATTGCAAAGGATTGCTATCACTAGAACTGGTCCATGGATGCTATGTGGAGACTTTAATGAAATAATCAACCCAACGGAGAAGAAAGGTGGGAAGATCCGTCTAGATAGTAGTTGTGTCGATTTTAGTACAATGTTGAAGGTGTGTGATATGGTTGATGTACCCTCTAAAGGTAACCCTTTTAGTTGGGTGGGGAGAAGAAGGAAAGAAATCATAGAGTGTTGTCTGGATCGTGTTATGGCTAATTCAGAATGGAAGAGATTATATCCAGTTACTGAATCAGAGTTCTTGGAGCTAGCAGAATCTGATCATCGTCCAGTTATTATAACTATCGACTATACCCATAGAAGTCGGAAGGGGTGTTTCAGATATGATAAGAGATTCTTTAAGAATGAGGATTTTGTTAATACTGTCACAGCAGCATGGAGTGCTACTGAAAGAATGGATGCTTGGGAGAAGAAGTTATCCTATTGTAGAGGTGAAATGGTTAGTTGGAAAAAGAGAAATCAAACTAATTCTGCGGTATTAATCCAGGAGATTCGTGAGAAGATAGATGCTGCATTACGTGATTCTTCTATATCTACAGAATCAATCAATGATTATAGAAAGGATCTTAATAAGGCTTACTTGGCTGAAGAGGAGTTTTGGAGACTCAAGAGTAGAAATAAATGGCTAAATTTTGGGGATCGTAACACTAGATTTTATCATGGTCTGGTCCAAGCTCAACGGAGTTACAATAACATCAAAGGAATGTATGATAACAATGGGATTCTTCATACTCAGGATGAAACTATAGCTCAGATAGCATCTGAGTATTTCTCCGACATGTTTCTTTCTACTAATGCTATTCTTGGGAATGATATTATTAGTCATCTTCAGCCTAAAGTTACTCCGGATATGAATAGGTTACTGCTTCAAGAAATTTCTGAGGCTGAGATCAAACAAGCAGTTTTTTCGATTGGTTCGGAAAGAGCATCGGGTCCCGATGGTTATACTGCTTCCTTCTATCATCAGTTTTGGGAAGTGATTGAAGCAGATGTGTATAGCATGATCCAAAGATTCTTTGTCACTGGTAAATTGGAAAAACAGATGAACCACACTAACATCTGTCTTATTCCAAAATTCCCAGGAGCAATGGATATGTGCAACTATCGACCGATAAGTCTATGTTCGGTGGCTTATAAGATCATATCTAAAATCATGTGTCTTCGACTTCAAGGTTGTCTGGATGGCATCATATCTGATTCACAAGCTGCATTCGTCCCAGGAAGACAAATCTCAGATAATATACTGGTGGCTCATGAACTTATTTCAGCTTTGAAGTCAAAAAAGGATTGCTCTGAGCAATATTTAGCCATCAAGACGGACATAAGTAAGGCTTATGACCGTGTAGAGTGGTCATTTTTGGAAGCTACAATGCTGCAGTTAGGTTTTGATGCAAGATGGGTGGAGCTTACTATGGAATGTGTTCGTTCCGTATCCTATTCGGTTCTAATCAATGGTTATCCTTATGGGAACATTATTCCTTCGCGGGGTTTAAGACAAGGCAATGCAATGTCTCCATACCTGTTTTTGTTATGTGTGGAGGTGCTAAGTCAGATGCTTGATAGAGCGCAACAAGGTGGTCAATTTTGTGGTATGAGATTGGCTAGTAGATGTCCAACAGTGTCTCACCTATTCTTTGCAGATGACTCTCTGTTTTTCTGTAGAGCTACATTGGAGGATGTCTCGGTAATGGCACATATTTTTGAGCAATATGAAGGTATCTCAGGTCAGAAAATCAATTATGATAAGTCATCAATCATTTTTGGTCGAAGAATTCCTGAGATAAATAGGTCACCGATTCAACAAGTATTGAAAATCAGTACACTAGGAGGAGGAGGTAAATATTTGGGCTTGCCAGAAGAATTTAGTCGAAGCAAAGTTTCAGACTTCATGGGGATTGTAAACAGAGTAAAAGAGCAAACTTCTTTGTGGTATACTCAGTTTTTATCTCCTGCGGGTAAAGAGGTTTTGATCAAATCAGTTCTCCAAGCAAAACCTGTTTACCCTATGAGTTGTTTCCTTTTACCAAAAACGATATGTGATGGTATCAATTCTCAGCTATCAGCTTTTTGGTGGGGCCAGATGGAAGGAAAACGGAAAATTTCCTGGATATCATGGAGAAGACTATGTCTACCTAAGTCTGAAGGAGGTATGGGATTCCGTGATTTATTTGCTTTTAATAAAGCTTTGCTTGCAAAGAAAGCATGGAAGATTTATCAAAACCCCGGTTCTCTACTTGCTAGATTATACAAAGGTCGTTATCATAACTCGTCGACATTCTTACAGTCGACAAGTTCATCAACGTCTTCGTATGGATGGAAATCCATCCAAGCTGGTAAAGAACTCTTGCTAAAGGGTTTAGTTAAACAAATTGGAAATGGGAAAGATACTTTAATCTGGGAAGATCAGTGGTTACCAGGTTTACCTCCGCATAAAGTTGTTTCGCCGTGTGTGTCTCGGAATATTACAGTTGCTGAACTCATAGATCCTTCTACTGAAGTTTGGGATAATGATAAGATAAGTAGAATATTAGTCCCGGAAGACAGAACTTTGGTGAGAAACATTACTCTATCTCGATATAATAGTCATGATAGGTTTGTGTGGCCTTATACTACAAGTTTGGAGTATACAGTGAAATCAGGGTATTGGACAGCTACTCATGATTTATATGAGGGAGAGGATATACTTCAACCTATTGGATCACTCACTATTAAAAAGAAGATATGGGATCTAAATATTCTTCCTAAGCTTCAGCATTTCTTATGGAGAGTGGTTTCTGGTGCTCTCCCAACGTATGTGCAACTTTGCTCTCGTGGTGTAAGTACTGACCCGGTATGTCAAAGATGCTGTCTAGATGAGGAGACTATTAACCATACTCTCTTCCTTTGTCCTCATGCTTTGGCTATTTGGAGATGTACAAGTTTACCTATCTCAAGTTACCAATCAGAAGTATTGGAGGATAATGTCTCAGCTTTATTTGCGTTTGCTGAATCTAGTAATATTCAAGATGATGTGAGTGCTCTTCCTTTTTGGACCCTTTGGTTTATTTGGAAATCCCGCAATGAGTTCTTGTTTTCATCTCGTAATGTCCATCCAATGGAAGATGCTTTAAGAGCAAAATCAGCAAGTATGGAATGGTGTGCTACTAGTGCAGTGGTTAAAAGGAAACATGTACCAGTTGAGAAAGGGTCTCAATGGCTCCCACCTCCGAATGGCTGGTTAAAATGTAACTTTGATTGCAGTTTTAAAAGTGAAACTAATAGTGCAGGCCTTGGATGGATTCTTCGTGATCATTACGGTAAATTCCTCTCTGCTGGTACATCGCTCGTATTTAATGTATGTTCTCCACTTCAAGAAGAGGATTCTGCATTTCTATATGCTCTACAACACATGTGGACCAAAGGCTTGAGGTATATCTGGTTCGAAGGGGATAATGAAGTTTTAACTCGAATCATCATCAATAAACAACCTCAACATTCTGAGTTAGGAAACATGCTCCATGATATTCGACATTGGATGTCTCTACTACCATTGTGCTCCTTGGACTCTGTTAATCGTGAAAAGAATTCGGCAGCAGATGCTCTATCAAGATATGCTTTTCAAGATCATATTTTAGCTTCCTTGTATTCTTGTCCACCTAATTGGTTGATTAAGCTTTTGTATTACCCTTATACAGTTTGAAGTTTTTAATATAATGTTGTTCAAAAAAAAAAAAAAGATGAGTGAAGGTAGTGAGTCATGATATTCTTTGGTTTAGGTTTTGCCAACATATGTTGTAGTATTGTATGTGTTCTTAGGGTTAGATTTTCGAAAGCATAAATGTTTTTTTTTGAAAAATTTGAAATTTACCTAAGTGTGTTTATTTCTGTGTATAGTAAACACTATTTAAGTATAATTTAATTTTATAAGTGGTTAGTTAGTTAATTTAGTCAATTTTGTTTAGGGTTTAGGGTCTAGACGACTAACTACTAAGTCGTCTGGTAAATATATTTAGGATAGACGACTTACTAGTAAGTCGTCCAAACCGGACCGAACCTTTAATTTTACCAATGTACTTTTAAACCTAACCGAATTATTTACCGGACATATATAAGATGTTTTTTATTCACTTTTTCGCGAAATTTAGAAAGCCCTAACGCTGTTTCGCCCAAAGGAGATTTCGAATGCGATTTCGTCGATTCTCTCTAATCCATCGTTCTCACCGCCGGTTATCTCTCTGTCATTGTCACCGTCGTTCTCACCACCGTTTCCTCTTTTTTAGATCTGAGAGGAAATCCTAGCGTCGTTTCTTTGTAAACCCTAGCGTCGTTTCACGTCTCGTTCGCACCGCTGGTTCTCTGTAAACCCTTACGCCGTTTCTCTCAGAGGCGTTTTGTTGAATTCCGCCGCCGGTAAGTTATATCTCTTACTGTCGAGTGATTGATTGAGGAAAAGATGAACATAAAACGTTGTCTCTATCAATTTATGAATTAAGGTGTATCTATACTCGTTCTCACCGTCGTTCTCACTACGCTTCCACGTCTATTTTTGCAGATCTATAACCGCTGTGT